GACCTTGGAGGTCTCATCTCTCCAGCGCTCCAGAAACTTGTTGAGCGGCTCGTCCTAGCTTGCTTGACAGTGAGCAAGTGGGAGAAGTGTTTCCTCGTTTGACTCCTCCCTAAAAATTGGTGAGGAAGCTCGTTGCTAGTTACCACCAAGAATCAATGGACTCGTATGGTAGGTCATTGAACCAGTCATATGTCTCCCTTTCCAAAGTGGAGGAGAACATCTTGCGCATGTACTCATCGGCAGTACCAAGCATAAACATGCTGAATTGGTACTGAGAGTAATGCTCCTAGGGGTCAGTTTTACCCCCATAGGGTTTGATGATGGATGCCTTATACTTTGGCGGCATAAGGGTATGCATTATACGGCCAATGAAGGGAGTGACAGATCTTATTTTATCCTCATTGTGTTGGACTCATAGTTGAGCTGAGCCTGGAGAAACTGCACTTGGTGCGCTACGGCCTCTAGTTAAGGATTATTGGAAAGAAGAGGATGAGGCGGTGGTACTGCAATTGCTATTGCTGCCCGCAACTCGTTCACTTGGCACGTGAGAGCATGGATCTCCTCCTCGCGTGGATCTACAATATGATGGCGTCGAGGTGGAGAATTTTTCCTTTGCCTCGGGGGAGAGTGGAGTTGTTGCTAGCATGGGGGGTCAATCTATGAGAAAAATTGCGCACTAGCCTCTCCCCCCTGTTGTTGTTGGGGACATTATTGTTGTGGCCATTGCTGGCAGCGACGATGCACATTCGGACTCGGTGAGTGTCGGTGAACGCCCCTGAGGCGCACAAAGAGACATTGATGGATAGTTGCTTTATCGCCCAAACTATTACAGATTGGACGCCTCCCCACCTCAATCCAGGGGTTGGGATCATTGTCCCCATGTAGTCCTGAGGAGACAGAGGACTCCCAAGAGTCTTCGGTGGTGATGGTGTAGACACCTTCATCGTTATGGAAGTCGTACTGCATTAGGCACGCCTTGTATTTTGGTGGCAGAACCGAGTGTGATGGTTGGACCACGAATTGTTTCACGACGTGGGGCGAGAAGTGCCAGCAGCCGCTTGTTGTGGCACAATGAGAGATGTCATGGCAGCACAAGGGTGGAGCTACTGCAATGGTGGTGAAAGAGACACCCGTGGTTCAATCCGCTGATCCGCCCGTGGGACCTCGATTGATCCCACTTTTAGAGATGGTGGTCTTGAACCCTAACAGAGAGATTGGCCCAGCGACACTGTTTGCCGCTCCGATCGCCGCCTAGTTTTGTAAAGCAAGCAAGATCTACTGCAGCCTAGAGATGAGGGGTCAGCCGTGACCTAGGGGTCCGTAACCAGGATGTTCTGAAGTTGCAGAACCATTTGGCCAAACAACATTGTCGTTGCATCCCTGTTCTGAGAGATATGTTGGCGGAGATTTGGGGAGCTTTGCTGGAAGAGATCCGTAGTGGTGGAGGCCACCAGTTTGCCTCTAGCAGATCTTCTTACGCTAGAAGTGGCGGTTGTTTCCACGGAGGGTTCTAGGTTAGCCGTTAGTCGCTACATGTCTAGTTCGAATTGCCCTTCTCACCATTTTCACTGCTGAAAAGCTTGTTTTGGAGAGGATCTAAACTTGATTAAAATTCAAACCCTCAATGAAACACCAAATGATGGCTTCACCACCTGGGGGTAGGAAAAATCGAGTGAGAGTCAGGAAATATGCTAAGTGTAGATCGAGTAGGAAAATGGGTAGCGTAAGTCATAACAGTAAGCTTGGAAATAATAACCATGATCTCCTTCCACAAGTTAATAGATGATATTTATAGTGTAAAAGGAATTACTTGTGTAACACTTGAGATTTAATTTAAACGGATTAATAGTACTACTCATACCAACAAGATGCATCTCCTTTTAAGGGAGCCCATCACCAAGAACTTCAAAGTTAAGTGTGCTTGCACGGGAGTAGTCTTGGGATGGATGAGCCTCTGGGAAGTTTCTCATGGCGCGCATGAGTGAGGACAAAGTGCGCGTAAAGGGCTAGTGGCGGTTTGTGAGGACACTACTAGAGGTCTGGAGTAACTACCTCGGGTCCTGGGGCCGGGGTGTTACAGGTGGTATCAGAGCAACCGTTCGACAGTGTGTTGACGTGTTAAATATCGGGCAGACACTTAGTGGGGAAAAGATTCTGGGGTTTGATTCAGATTGGTTTATGGGCGCAACGAGAACGTTGCGTTCCTAAGTGGGGGTGATTGTAACACTTGAGATTTAATTTAAATGAATTAATAGTACTACTCATACCAACAAGATGCATCTCTTTCTAAGGGAGCTCATCATCAAGAACTTCAAAGTTAAGCGTGCTGGCACGTGATTAGTCTTGGGATGGGTGACTCCCCTGGGAAGTTTCTCAGGGCGCGCACGAGTGAGGACAGAGTGCGCGGAAAAGGCTAGTGGCGGTTTGTGAGGACAACACTAGAGGCCACCTCGGGTCCTTGGGGCCGGGGTGTTACAACTTGAACAACGAGTAAAATAACTATCCTAATGAAACATCAACACGTCACACGTGTAAAGCTAGTTGGTGAGAGAATGACCAACAGCTGACTGATTGGTATTGTTGCACTAGAATATGTCCTTTATGTGCCGGTTTGCTTAGATAAGTTACACTTCTAAGTCTAGAATCTTTTGTGTAACTGCTCGAACGTCAATCATGGACAACTGCAATATAGATGTCGTAGTCATAGATGTGCGTGGAATTCAAGTGCTGAAATGTCCAAGTCCACAATCCTCGTGAGAGGTCCCATGATCGGTCGCAAAGGTCAAGCTCAGATATAGCTAGGTGTGATCGGTTGAGAGGAGGGTAATCTGGCTCATGATGCAAAGTAGTGATGCTCTTGTTGACCTTTTAACCTCGTAAGTACGTCAGTTTGCCTTAGCTCGACCATAGTGGTAGATTAACCGCCAGCCCCGACCTCAGATTAACTGAGAAATGATCTTGAAGTATTTGCTAATTTCAGATTCAATATTTGCCTTTCTATATATTCTAGTAATAATTTTAAATAAATGTACATTTATGATATGAAATGATTGCATATTTATGATTAAAATAAAAATTGTTTTCAAGAAATTGACTAATGACTGGAGTAGTAATGAAATCATAATAACTTATGTTCAATTTTTAAACTTAAGTTACTATGACACTACATTGCAGTAAATATTAGTAATATTTGAGTAAATAAATTTTATCTTGGTAATATTTTTGAAAAAAAAACCTCTTATGATATTATTTAGTTTTTTTCTAAATAGAGGCCTCTAGAATATTGGAGGCCATAGACATTTGTCTAGGTGATCATATTACATTTGTAATATAATCACAAAAATATAACATTACAATCAAAGCTCTAATATAATCAAGATTACAAATTTTATTACCATCCAACAATTATTGTATACTCCCTTCGTATTTAAAAGTTTGCTACACTTTTTATTTGGGATGTACTTAAAAGTTTGCTACACTTTCTTTTTTTGGTAAGTTTTCTGTTAAAAATATTTAATTACCCTTATTTTTTCTACCATTTGTCTTATCTTTCTTACTTTTTCACCTTCTCTTGTACTTTTTCTAAACTATCATTACCCCCATTATTTCCTCCTTGAATATTGTGTCTAAGACCTAATGTATCGATCTTTTAAATAGATGGAGAATATATATTTGCAACACATTATAATTTTTAACAATTTATTTACAAACTTCTTATATACATAGTAATAGAAAACGAGCTTGAAGATGATCTAAAAAAGAATATATTTGACTTTCAAACTCACGAGATATTTATTTATCTTAGTTCATAATAATCAACTTATTTGCCACACTATATGTATTCCAATTTTGGTTTTTGATTTGTTTCATCTATCTTTGTATTAGATGTTATATTCTATTATATTATATAAGTACGATTGACACAATTAGGGATATTTTTAATTGGATTGATTTCCGTCCCAAACTAGACTATACTTAATTATGTCAAATCAGAATTCAATAGTTGTATAATACGCACACGACAGACATCTATGAGACCATACCAGTTCAGACCATATTAGGCAAGAACATAGCAGGTGATACCTGATAATTTCAGTCCAATTAAAAGATAAAACCTATTTACACAAATATGATTAATAGTTTCTACAATGCGGTATCGTACTAACTTAAGTAAAAAATTGAACATAAGTTACTATGATTCCATTGCTACTCTAATCACTAGTCACATTTTTGTGAACAATTTTTCTTTCAATCATAAATATGAAATTATATCTAATAACATCCTTATTGGTATTATAATTATAAATTGATGTCTATTAATAAATGAATTTCTGTCAAAATTAATATGTATACATCAAGTATCAATTGTATGTTGTTATAAATTAATGCCTACCATATATATACACTTTAGAATGTTGAATTAATATATTGTTGTTTATCGAAGTTTTTAAATATGAACAATGTTAACTACCAAACACTATACTTCATTAATATTTTACTTGTTATATTTTATATTAATTAAAGTTATATTAGGGATTCCATGACTTTATTTTTATGGGTCCGCTGCTGAACACATACATAGTTAAAAGTATGAACTTTATTTATTTCACGAGAAAATTAAATATTTTTTAAAATTATCGAAGCAAAAACATTAAATAAAATAAATATACTAAATCAAAGAATATCGATAAAATAAATATACTAATTTAAAAAATATCAATTCAAAATAAATAAAACCACTTTGGAACTTTACCGTTGTATTGCGGTACTTTATTATATCGTTGGATTTTTAATTAATTTAATACGAAGTATATCAATTACTCAATAAATGAAATATGTCTGGTATTTACCGTTTTAGTTTAAATTTCTCCCATTTCTAGCAAGTAGTTTGTATTGGGTAATTTGTTTGTCCAAACTTGAAGAAAAAATGTACTCCAACGATAGACTAAATAACTTTAATATTTTTTAAAATTAGAAGTAAATCCCTAGAAGTAATGGTAGGAAATGCTCTTCGCAAAGCTGCTAAGCTCAATAAAATTTCCTTTTTGTTCTTCCGAAATTTAGAAAATAATATCGAGCGGTAAAGAAGATTCTTACGGCTAAAAAACAATCCGGAGGATTTTGAACGGAAACTGTAGTTTAGCGGGAACATAAATAATTTGAAGAATCAAAGCCTTCAGATTTCAAAGCTCCACTTCCGCCTAGACAATGGAAGACGCTATACAGAGAATAGCGACAGATATTGAAACCCAAACCACCATTTCAGAATCTAATCTCAAAGAACTCCAAACGCTCTTAGATTACACCCTAAGCACCCAAGATCCCACAGATCTCGAAGCCCTCTACAATGAAATTTCTTCAAGAAACCTCCCTCCCACTGCTCTATCCAACTCAATATCCTCAACAATGGACTCTGGTCCACCCCATGTTTCAATCCTGGCATCCACTGTTTACTTATCTCTTCTTCTCTCCCCAAGCTGTCCCGTATTTACTATTTTCACCCCCATGGCTTTTCAGTCGCTTCTCCTGTCCATTCGCAGAGCTTTGAAAAGCACGCGTGTGCCTTCTGAAGGGGGTTCAGGGTCAAGAAAGCCTGAAAGGAAAGGAAAGGGGCGTGGTCGAGGAGGTCCAGGGAAGAACAGAGGAAAGAATGTGGAGCATTGTGAGGACGTGGGTGAAGAAGATAGGGTTTTTGATGTTACAGTTTTGTTCTGTGTACTTGAGAGGCTGGAATCGGTTATGGGTTTGGTCCATTTGGATAGGTTTCCTGATTGTTTAAGGACTTTGGTTCAAACTGTGGCTGACATTCCTGTAATGGCAAGTGAATGCCCTGGGGGTTCAAGGGTGTACGCTAGGTTATGTGAGTTGTGTTCACGGCTCCTAAGGGAAGTCCTTAAGCCTGAGCACGGGGATCCGAGGGTCTCCTCTGCTGAGCTTTTGAAGTCATTGACACCTTTGATTCTTTTGGTTAAGTCTCAAGCAAAAACATTTGCTTTAGAATTTATAGTGATCAGGATGGTGAGTATGGCCAAAGGTTCTCCTATAATAAAGGAAGCAGTTGTGAATTTGCCTAAGTATTTGGTTCACAAGTCTCCAGAAAAGGCTGAGCCTAGAGCTTCAGCTGTGGCCTCCATACTACAGATTGTTAAAGTTCTAGACTTTGAGGATCAAATTGCGTTTGCTGATTTTGTAGTGAAGATGAGCCAAGGGAAGGCAAATTTAAGGCTTTTGGCCGTGGACCTCTTTCCAGCATTGTTAATGTCAATAAAAGATCCATTAGGATGGAATTCAGATACCGGTGTTGAGAATTCTTGGGGTTTGAGATGTTTGAGTGCACTGATTCAGCGGTGCTCTGATTCAACAGCTGGGATTAGAGCTCGGGCTTTGACCACTTTAGCAAATCTGCTGGTACATTTTTCTGGGGATGTTAAGAGCAGATCAGCGATGAAGGGATTAATGGGGTTCGGAAATGATGGATCTAATCTGGCACAAGATGGAATCATCTTTATCTTGAAAAGTCGGTGTGCGGATGAGAAGGCTGCAGTTAGGAAGGCTGCTCTCCTTCTGATATCCAAGTTGACATCTCTATTAGGCAGTGCTGTTGATGAAGATTTGATAAAGACAGTGGGCTTTGCTTGTTATGATCCACTGGTTAGCATAAGGAAAGTGGCAATCTCAGCTCTATCTGAGGTTAAGTAACTCTGCAATATGAATGAATTGCTTCCTTATGTTATTGGTCTCACCATGTATACATTGGGTAATATTTTTTGAAGTTAAACTTCTAAGTATATAGTACTGCTGGCAAATTTATTTGAGAGGTTGAGGGCTTGAAGCTTTGTCAAAGCATTCTCTGTCCTATTCATTGATAAATGAACATAAACATTGATTCTTTCTCCATCACATTCGTCTTAGTAATGGTTAAAACTTAAAATGAAATCCATATTTCTCTTTTACCTGACGTTAATACTATCAAAATTGCCATACCATACCATTATTCTTATGTACTTTAGGTTCTAGCAATAGTGTTGTTGACTTCATGTTTCTCTGAGGACTGTAATTTCTTTACCTTGTGTTCATACTATCAGAGTTGCCATGCCATTAGTCTTATGTGCTATATGCTCTAGTAATGTTGTTGTTGACTTCATGTTTCACTGAGGACTGCAATCTTTATTTACTACGTGGTAATATCTTAAGTGAAAAACTTGCAATCCTGCAATGCTTTCTATTTACTAGGTCTAAGTCAATTCATGTCTCTCTTTTCTTACCGTTTCGAGTTTGATAATTCTTTTTATTGGAATGGATTCTTTCCTCACTATATAGTACGTATAATCTATTTAGTGATGTTGAAATGTAGCTGTTAGAGAAATGAGTTTCTTTCAGGGCTGAAAATGTCATTCCATTTCCTGTTGCACTTTGAACTTTTGAAGGAATCGAGTAGGGCAGTTTTAGTTACTTGACAGTTTCCACTTTTCCAATATCAGTTTGTAAAAAAGCATGCCATACTTAATAAAACAATACTTTGTTGAAGGAAAATAATGCATTGCGATCAAAGGATTGGAATTGGAAAAATATAAAAAAAAACAATATGCTAAACACACCACTGTTTTGTTCTCCATTATCAGGAAAAGGGGAACTAATGCATGATCATACTCCATTTGCCTCGTATAGAGGTTGCCACACCTTTTCCTTTGTGCAGCGACTTATGCTCTAATTTTTTGTACCCTTTTCATTTCTTCTTGATTTTTTATACATTTCAAACACATTAGATGATCTGCTATGTAATTATTCCATCTAAGTTCTAAAACATTTGCATTTGTGTTTTTTTCTCAGATCATGTTTTGATATGTTATACAGGCTTTTAGATTGGCCTTAGGAGACTTTATAACAAAAGAGTGGCTTCATTCGGTTCCACGTCTAATAGCTGATAATGAAACCAGCATCCAGGAAGAATGTGAAAACTTGTTTCTTGAATTGGTTATTGATCGAATCGCACAAGTTAGTTCTAGTCGTTCTCCCCACCAAATGCCCAAATTTTCAGGTTCAAGTGGAAGTTCCAGAAACTCAGACATGGAAATTGAACAATCATGCAACGGTGGACTTTTATGTCTGTTGAGAGAGATGTGTAATAGTGAGGTGGCACCTTGGGTGAAGAAGATTTGTGCAAGTTTAGGAAAGAAAAAAAAACTAAAACCGAAGATTGCTGTAGCACTTCAAAATATCATAAAGACATCTGAATCTCTGTGCTTAAGAGAATCAATGCCAATAGAGAAGTGGACCGCACCTTTAGGTTCATGGTTTCTTTTATCAGAGGTGTCTGCATTCCTCCCTCGAGCGGTTGAATGGGAGTTCCTTCGTCATCATTGGCAGCTTCTGGACAAGCATAAACCTAACAATAATGGTGAAAACCAGTTTGTGCAAGGCAATTCAAACACTGAGGACATTGACACAACCGAATCAAATTCTGTTACTTGGGCTGGAGATCGTGTTTTTCTTTTGCAAACAATCTCTAATGTTTCTGTGGAGCTCCCCGCGGAGCCTGCAGCTGACCTGGCTCATGATATTTTCACTCGTCTAGAGCAGTTCAACATGCACTCAACAGAGGTATGTACTAATGTATTACTCCCTCTATCCCATTTTTCTTTTTGTATCATTTGTGTACCAAAATTATCAACTCTTTCCTAATTTGACTCCACAAACTTATTACTTGCTCACTTCAATTTATCATTTCATTTTTTACTTTTTGTTGGTCTAATACTCTTCTTCTTATTCTTCCTTTATAACTTAGAAGCTTAGAATTGCAAAACAACTATCTCCTTTATTCTCTTAAAACTCATTCCAAAGCCAGATGTACCTTCCATTTTGGGATGGTGGGACTGGGGGAGTATTTTCTAGTTCATCTGGTCCACACACCCCCATCCTAGTATCCTATTTCTAAGGAAAAAGTATACGGTACAATAATCTTCACAGCAAATGCATTATCCAATCGGCTTGCTTCCATTGCTCTGTGAAGGGCATAAAGTAGCAGCTGTTCTGCAATAGATTCTATTTTGGAACTCTGGGAAAGGTATATGAACTTCAATTTGTGCAGCATTGATTATTCAAAAAGGGATAAGCTGCAATGCATAAGTAAAACCATCCATTACTGAAGAAATTGCTTCCTTGGAGGCTTATCAGTTTTCACCATTGCATGTGACTGATGAATTTTGTCAATATTAGGTGGATAAGTTACTGTGAATAATGTATATGGCTTAATGTTATTTTCATTTTCACCTTTCCAATCAACCATTACTTGTGTCCAGTATGGTTCAATAATTCAATTTCACGGAAAATGTGCTTCCTGCAATGATTGATGACAATTACTGTTATTGTTATTTCTACTGTTATGACTAGTTGCGATATTGTTTTCTAGGTTGATGCTCATGTAAAAGCTCTTAGAACACTGTGCAAGCGAAAGGCTATGAGTCCTGAGGAGGCGGATTCCCTTGTTACAAAATGGGTTCAACAACTCTTGTCTGACGTGTCCAAAATTCTAGATTTGTATATGTCAAAGAACAAAGAAATGAAGGAACAAAGTGCATTTCTCACACCTCAACGTTTTGGAAGTGAAATGGGGAAAGCAACTGGTGTATCATCACCATTACTATCACGAACATTGACTGCAGTTCATACCTTGGGAAGCCTGGTTATGGTTTGCCCTTCGGCTGATTTGAAATCCATAATTCCAGTTTTACACACAATAATCACTTCTGATGGTACTGATCAGAGGGCTAAAAAATTACCAGGGACTTCGGTTTCTATCAAGCGAACAGCTCCTTCCCTGTATGTTCAAGCTTGGGTAACCATGGGCAAGATCTGTCTTGCCGATGGAGACCTTGCAAAGCGTTACATTCCTCTGTTTGTCCAGGTACATACATGCTCACCAAAAGCTCTTGTGATCAAACTGCACTCTATGTATTAAAGTATGGTTAAATAGTCATTGGTAGAAAGTTTATGTGTGAACATATTGACATGCAGAGGGCGTTGACACAGTTCCTTATTTTCATGTACATGCTTTTCTAGGAGCTTGAAAAGAGTGACTGTGCTGCTCTTCGTAACAACATAGTTGTAATGATGGCAGATTTTTGTGTACGACACACAGCTCTAGTGGACTGGTGAGGGCCATATTTGTTGTTTATGTATGAAAGTATTTGAATGACCTGTTTTAAAAACATCTTCAGTTCTTTTATGCTGTTACTTGCTTACACATTCGTATTCTTCTAGTTATCTATCGAAGATAACTAAGTGTCTAAGGGATTCGTGCGAATTAGTTAGACGGCAGACATTTATACTACTTGCAAGACTATTACAGGTGAGTTCTGGTTTTCTAATGCATTGAACTTAGTATTCTAAAACAATATCTACAATGGTGTACAATTTACTGTATTCTGTGACATTTGACCTATGCTTGATCTCAGAGAGACTATGTGAAGTGGAGGGGAGTTCTGTTTTTGCGGTTTTTATTCTCTCTCATCGATGAATCTGAGAAGATAAGACAGCTGGCCGATTTCCTGTTTGGGAATATCTTAAAAGGTGATTTTCACTGCACACTTCTCATTAGAGCAGGTTTCTGGTGTCAGGATTGTGATGCCTATTTTGTTTACAGTGAAGGCACCACTTTTGGCCTATAATAGCTTTGTGGAAGCTATATATACCTTAAATGACTGCAATGCTCATACTGGATCTAGCAACTCCCAGAGTTCAAGAAGCGAAACACATCTTTTCTCAATCAGGTTAGTATATATATGTAGTTCTAATTGAAACACATAAGTTTGATGGAATGAAGTTTTAACTCATGGCTATTTATTAGAGGAAATGATGCGAAGTCAAGGTCTTCAAGAATGCACATTTATGCCACCTTGCTTAAACAGATGGCTCCAGAACATCTTTTAGCAACATTTGCTAAAGTATGTGCAGAGATCCTTGCTGCTGCTTCTGATGGGATGATCAATGTAGATGATACTACTGGACAATCTGTTCTGCAGGTATATTAGTTAGCAATATTCTGAACCTGAATAGTTTGTTTAAGATGAAGGTTCTAAAGGTCAACAGATGAGCACATGGTAACCATACATGTCAAACCATCCTCCAGAACAAGCAAATGAAATAGAAACTATTTTCTGTAGTGCTGTTGTTTTTAGTATCACAAGTTCACAACATTCCACAAGTTCTTCTTTTTCTTTCTTGTTGTTTATCCTTTTATCTTTATATATATATATATATATATATAATTATATAAATATATATATATATATATATATATATATATATATATATATATATATACATCAACAACAACAACAACATCCAAGCCTTAGTCCCAAAAGATATTGAGGTCGGCTAACATGAATCGATACATGATATCACAACCAAAAGGAAAAGAAGGAATAAAGATAAAAAGATAAGCTATTATGAAAAGATAATATAAAAAAGATGAATATATATATATATATATATATATATATATATATATATAAATGATAAAATAAAAAGGTTGCAAATAATGCTTATAAATATATATATATATAAGGATAAAAAAAACTAGGAAAAAAAAGATGAGGGAAAAAGATTATCAAGATCACTCCTTCACGTGAATACCCGCCCTCCACTTAGTTCTCTCCAAAGTCATGCCCTCATCCAACCCCAGAAAAAGCATATCACTTCGAACTCCCCTAACCCACGTCTGTTTGGGTCTTCCTCTCCCTCTCTTCCCTGCCTCTTGTCCACACATCTCAACTCGCCTAACAGGTGCATCACTCGGTCTTCTACGCACATGACCAAACCACCGTAGGCGCGACTCCCGCATCTTGTCTTCAATAGGTGCTACTCCCACCCTTTGTCTGATTGTCTCATTCCTCACGCGGTCCTTCCTAGTATACATATATATATATATATATATTTATCTATCCTTTTTATTCTATCATTATTATGTAAAGCTTATCTTTTTTATCATAGCTTATCTTTTTTATCTTCCTTTTCCTTTTGGTCCCGTATCATGTTCCGATTCATGCTAGCGGACCCCAAAATCTTTTGGAATAAAGGCTTGGATGTTGTTGCTGCTGCTTTTCTGAAAATCGAGGCAGACAACACAACATATCATTGATCAGTTATCTGATAACTTGATTGAATGGTTTTCTCACCTTGGTAATCTGTGTGCTTGAGTTTTAGTCAATTATTGTCTGTTTCCCCCCCTTAAGGCTTAAGTAGATAGTATTCCCATTGCATCAGCTAATTTTATTTTATTCTTCATCAAGTCTTGAGTTGCAACTACCTATGCTATTTGCATGTTTTCCAAGGTCGCATCTTTGAGACAGTTCTTTTTGGGTGGGTGGGGGATTGGGTTATCTATTTTGCACGAGTGGTATATAATTTCAACTAAGAGCATGCAGGACGCCTTCCAAATTCTGTCAAGCAAAGAAATCCGAATATCAGCCAACCGTGGGGTGCAATCCGACTCAGCTGACATGGATGATGAAACTGGGGACGGTGGACCTGCAGCTGCTGGTAAGGGAAACACTATAACTCAAGCTGTCAAGAAAGGTCTTATACAGAACACCATCCCCATCTTCATTGACTTGAAACGTCTGCTTGAGAGCAAAAACAGTTCTCTTATTGGTTCTCTCATGGAATGCCTCCGGGTCCTTCTCAAGGACTACAAGAATGAGATTGATGAAATACTAGTTGCTGACAAGCAGCTCCAGAAAGAGCTTATATACGACATGCAGAAATATGAGACGATGAAGTCTAAAACAACTGCTGCTGAGGCTGTTGCGACGATGCAAAGATCGGATACTTACCAATCCCCTGCTGTTTCCGACATGTTGAAGAAGGCGAAGCTGCACAGCGATCCGAAGGTTGCTTCGGCAATAGCAGAGGCCTCGGCATTAGCAGTTGCTCAGTCTGTGCTAAGGGATGTGAATCATGGGGCCGCAACACCACCGCTGAGTGCAATGAGGGCACCTAAGCTCAAGTCCTGCTCAGCAACAGGATTGGCAAGTCGAGGAGAACGGTCTGCAGCTGTGCTACAATCTCTGAGGAGAAGGCAGACGTTTGATTCTGATGATGAAAATTGATTCCCCCCCTTCCAGTTTGAGATTTTGGAAGCTAAGCTTGATCCATGTATGTTGTAAGTACCGCCAATGTAAAAGGTTTCTCTTGAGTAGAGTAACTCACTTGTATGTATCGTGGCTGCTTAGGAGTTAGGATTAGCTTTTTCACAATGTAAAAACAGGTTCCAAATGAAATCTATACAAATTTTTTCAATAAAAGAATTATAGAGTAGTCTCATTGTTTTGTTTGAGTTTTCTTGATTGAATTATATTAAGGGACTGTTTGCAAAAATTATAAAGTGTTTTTCTGTTTTTAGCGCAAAAAAAGATGAAACGAATGTTTTCAAGTGACAACTTCCGCTTAAATTAATCATTTACAGCCAAAAGCTAGAAGCATGTTGAAGGGTGTTTTAAAATGCTTTTCACCTATTCTATTACACAAAGAACACTTATTTTACCAAATACTATTAACTTTTACTTTTTTAGAATCACTTCTTTACAAAATTATCAACTTTTACTATTAAACACTTTCTCCATAATCACTTTGAAAAATCACTTTTTTTAAAGTAGAATCAATCATAAACATCGATTTAAAATAATCTCAACTATTTTCGGTTCACATTTAGTAATACAATCATCGATTATTACTAAGTGGTTCTAATTAGGATGTGTTTACTTGAACTGTTTTCAGTCACAAACTAGACCAAACATAAACAGATCATTAGATCAAATCAGACCAGTCTTAAGTAGACTAGACCCATACTTTCATATTTATGAAATACACAGAGACCAAACATTTATTAGATCAAATCAGACCAATTCAAACCAAGCCAAATTTGAACAAACCAGATCAGACCAGCAAATTTCAGTCCACGTAAAAACATCTATGGGCTACTACAATTTGATATTGTAGGTTAATATTAAATAAATTAGAACTAAATCACCCTCTCCAGTTGTAAATAAAAGAGCAGTGGTTTTGTTTGTAAACAAGGGTGGAGTAGGATTTCATCACAAGGGGTGGAACACGAATGCAAACAATTAATTGCATCGTAAATTATTTAAACATATATACACTATTACAATTGTAGATTGGTTGATTTAAATTCTTTGAGAATTTTAGAGAGATCCAAAATTATTATTTTATGACATGTTTGAATAGTGCTTAGGAAAGGAAAACTAATGCCGTGAAATGATATTTTGATGTTTGATTTTGCATCACACAATTAAAATTAAAAGGAAATTAAGTATGATTAATATTTTTAATTTTATTTGCTTATATTCGTATATATTAACTTTCTAATTACACAAAACAACGTATTAGATGAATTTGATTAAAAAATCTCTCTCTCTCTCTCTCCCTCCTCTCTCTCTCTCTCTCTCTCTCTCTCTCTCTCTCTCTCTCTCACACACACACACACACACATATCTAGAGGTGGACTCGGGCCGGGTGGCCCGACCCAGAACCGGCCCGGGACTGGTACTGTTCCGGCCCGGCCCGGTGGCCCGGCCAGGGACTGGTCCGGGTAGACCCGGCCCGGTGGTTTTACGGTGCGGGCTCGGGTCCGCCAAATGATGAACCGGCCCGACCGGCCCCGGTTCCGGGCCTTTTTTTTCATTTTTTTTTATTTTTCAGGGTTGGGCCGGGTGGTTTGGGCCATTTGGGGTGGTGAGGGGTGGGGGGTATTAGGGGATTAATTAGAAAAAAAAATAGGAAGTGGCTCGAGACCCGGACCCGGACCGGACCCGGAATCTACCCCGGCCGGTCCCGGGCCCAACTATTCTGAACCGGCGGCCCGCCGGGCCTAGGCCCGACCTGGACGCGGACCCGGCCCAGCCCAACCGGAGTCCACCCATACATATAACCACTCATTTTTTCCTCTATTATATTTTACGTTCAAACTCCATCTAATCCTATTTTGGGAAATCTCCCGTACTAAAAATACTTATTCCTACTCCATAAAACTTGACCAAATTTGACAGACACGTGAAATAATGAAGTAAAAACTCTGTGATTAAGTTTTGTGCAGAAGGGATATAATTGTCACGAACCACAAATCTTCAATTAAAAGAGAAAATTGCAAAGTTGGTTAGACCACCAAAAAGGAATAGTTGATAAATTTTTAAAGCATGGAGGGAATACAATTTTAACTTGCTAAAAGTTGAGGGGAAAATAATTTAAATATCTTAAACTTTAATGAGGTGTGAGATAAGTACCGCAAACTTGTATATATGTAGTATGACATATATACCCCAAATTTTATTTCGCACCATGATTGTATGTATTTTTATAAATACAAATTCAATGGAACAATTACATAATTTAAAATGCACTAAATTGTGTTATAATGCAATTAACATTCTCAAATTTCATTGGTGAAATATGTACTATTACATCCGGTAAAATTATCCAAAGTAGAACTAAAAATGTTTGTATATTCCAAAATAGAACATTCACGTTTTTATTACTAACATAGGACTAATTACTGTCATGTTTTATCAATATCAGACTTTAAACATGACACTATTTTTCAAATTTGGTTACAAAATACTTCTATTTTGGGAATAGAAACATGGTAGCCCTGTTTTGGAATGTCCCAAACTTTTGTATTCCTATTTTGAGATTTTTTCCTAATTTAATTTTAATTGCATTCTCATAAACATTTTTCCTAATTTAAATTATTATGTACATAATAGCAAAAATTAAATTTGTGAAAAATATATAATCATGAGACTTAGATAAGTTTTTAAATAAAGTTTGGGTATATATATTACATATGTAAATTTGAATTATTTATCTCACACCATTTCAAAGTTTGAGATATTTAAATGATTTTTTCTTAAATTAAATGATTTAATGTTATTGGCCCAAAGTGTGATCCAATCCAATTAGAAAATCACACGCTCAGGATCGGGGATAACCTAAAACCCTACTACCGGTGTAGCAATTCATCCGATCTACCGCTCATCTCTTCCCCTTAGGTCGGACGCAGTCTACACCACGCCGTTCGTCTAATATCCAGACCGAGGTTAGTCGATTATTACTAACGGTCTTCTTGTTTTAGCGCATCTTGTTTTGTTTGTTCGTACATATCTTTTTATATCTTATCAGTAGTGAATAGATCAAGCTTAGAGGGTGTTGTTGAGGTTCGTTCTTCATCTGTTCTTTCATTTAAATGATGATTAATTTTCTAAATCGAGGAGTTGTAATAATCTGTAATTTAATGACTTTGTTAAACAACATCTTCATAGATGTAGCCGCAATAGCAAATAGAAAAATATTACGGAGTGCATGTTATTAATACGGATAGACTTATGCTGACAGTTTAGTGTTGAAGTACCTTCACACTTTTTTCACTGGACTGTGAAATGATTTTTTTATGATGGAAGCAAACATTATATACCGTAGTAGCAAGTGGTTAACTCAGGCATGATGGGGGTGAACGCGTGAATTTGGTTACCAGTACGTGTAGAAACTGCTACTTGGTGAATTATAATTCGTCACCTGGAATACTGTTTAACTCAATGCTGGTGTTCTAAACTCTTCAGAGCATGTGAGTGCACATGAGTGTAACTTTCCGTGGCCAACTTTTGTTCTCATATTCCCATTCAATGTCTTTACATGTTCACATGTGATAATAAGTATTTCAGGCGAGAACCGTTATTGTTCACACGGTTCCCTTTTTATGTATATAAAGATAGAGATTATAATGAGGCCATAATTCTTGAAAAGTACCACAAAATAGCAAACATTTTTGAACTCTTCATCATAACAAAATTCTAATATACTAAAATGTTAAGTTTATTAGATTGATGATGGCAAATTTGAATCATCACTATTTAGTGGTTTGAAATAGGGAACATAAAAGCAGAATATGTTAATTCTAAAATTAAAAAATGAGCCGAGTGGACCCAAATACCCTTACACCCTGACCTCCTATTGCGCATGCCTCTCAGTCCCTTATTGTGTATGCACTATTGCCTAGGCCACACTGCAATATTCTGTACGCTACACTCCCAATGCCATAGGCAATGCCTTTTACACTGTATTCCAAGAATTAGTTGAGGCATGCCATGAGACGCAATTGCATCGCGCAATTACAAACAATGTTTGTAACTAATAAGTAGTTCATGCCTTTATGATAAGTTTTTGGGATTTGTTTGAGTTTTCTGCCATGCATCTGCAATATTCTATAACTACCATTGTTTTCTGTGATGCGTGATACTAAATCCAAATTAGTTTAGCTTTAACATTCTTGCTGAATTCAGGATAGTTCACCAGGTGACATCTTCATTGGATTTATGTGGATGTTACTTCTTTTTCTTTGAAAAACTGATTTTCAGTTGTTTAGGAATTAAATTGTATTCTTTGATCCAGCTTAATATATCCAGAGTTTGAGATTGAGTGAAATCTGTAGCTAGCAAAGGGTCTTCAAAATGTCTAAAAAAGGTTTGATGGAGCAGGACTTAAGTAAACTGGATGTAACAGTGTTACATCCACTCTCGCCTGAGGTCATCTCCCGTCAGGCTACAATAAACATTGGTAAGCTCATTATTCTAAAGATGTACAAATAATTAATTATTCTCAATTGTTTGCTGCTTTATCTCAAGTCATGAGCTTTTTATATTTACCTGCAACTAATTAAAATTCTAATTGTTTGTTTAGGTACTATAGGCCATGTGGCACATGGGAAGTCAACAGTTGTGAAAGCCATATCCGGTGTTCAGGTATATGAAGTTTCTTGAGTTTCATATATAGAATACCTCAGTTTTGGTGCATCAGAAAGAAAGAATGCCTGGCATTTGTGGATGATTTCCTATTAGTCCCATAGGCATGCAATTTAAAATGTAGCCGGAGTTGTTAGATTTTGATCTGAATACTGATTAGCATTGCCACTACTTTTCTTATTTGAAACTTTTTCAAGATTTTGCCAATAGTGAATGATGTCATTTTGCGACTTCTCTGATCTCCATTGTACGCTATCTAATGAAATCAGTTGCATGCAGTCTTCTAACTGTGATTTTAATGAAGGGGATATAATGCATTATGTCTGTTCTCTCGGAAATGATATTTGAGAAATTTAAATATGTATGCTCCCTCCTTTGTGTAGACTGTTCGTTTTAAAAATGAGCTCGAGCGTAATATCACTATTAAGCTTGGATATGCAAATGCTAAGATATATAAATGTGAAGATGATCGTTGTCCTAGACCTATGTGCTACAAGTAAGTACCTTCATTTGAAGCATATTTCAATTTAAACGGTGTTGATTGTTGGCCAGTCATCAAAATATTATTTTTCAGGGCTTATGGAAGTGGAAAAGAAGATAATCCCATGTGTGATGTGCCTGGTTTTGAGAACAGCAGAATGAAATTACTCAGACATGTATCATTTGTTGATTGTCCGGTAATATTCTATGATGCCCTCCCCCTAAGTAGCATGGAAACGGGAAACGGGAAACGGGAAACGTCGGAAATGCCATTTGCCAAAAATACAGGACACGAAACATGGGGGAAAATGCGCAAATATTAAAAATATAGGGGTTATTTTATAAATATTATATACACGTAGTATATATTTGTGAATTTTTGTATGTGTGTGTATATATATATTCACACACACATATATGTATTATTAAATTTACACACACACACAAGCTATTAAATTTCACTTTGGCTACCACCCACAGACACCCACCGACACTAAACAGTAAACACAATAAATAGACGACTAGTGGCTATGACCTGTCACCTGTACAACACGACCCTGGCCCTGCTGAAAACGTTTTTAGAACCACCTGTTGAAAACGACGAAGGCAGGGGATGAGGGGAACTATTTCAAACTCTCAGAAACTTACCTGAACGACGAAGACCTGTGATGAAGCCGGCGAAGTCTGTTGAAGCCGGTGAAGTCTGCTGAAGCCGGCGAACTCTGCTGAAGCCTGCGACGGAACTTGACTGCTATGCGACGGAACTTGACTGGTATGCGTAGGGTTGAAGACTTGAAGAGTGAAAGTAAGTTGGGCCAATTTTTTTTATCAGAACCAGTTTTTTTTACTGGGAAACGGGTTTCCAAACTTCCCAAAATTAAGAATCTGCCCAGAAACGCGTTTTCCCCCGTTTCCCACGATCGGAAACGTTCGTACGTTTCCAAAACGGGGAAACTCCTACCCCCAGCCGTTTCCGTGCTTCATTGCCCTCCCCTCATCAATCCTTGAGTTCTTGTAGTTTCCCATGGCATGTTCAAAATTTTGCCTTCCCATTTCTTATTTTCTCATTTTCCAGCTCAGCTTACCCTTCTCCACGGTTTTGTAGTTTCCCTGTAGATCGATTTATTTTCCCCGTAGATCCCATTGATGTGCTCTTGCTTATAGTTAAAATATAAGTGCATGTTTTATTTGATTTATATTTGAATTGCTTGAATTTCCCCATTGGTTGAATTTTCCCAATTCTTTGAATTGCTTATAGTACAACATTGTCTTATTTCTACTCATGGTCACCCATCCATTACTTTAGTCACCATGTTTATCTTTCTTCAATGGCATTATGCATTTCCATTCCATTCTCACAGGGTCACGATATTCTCATGGCCACCATGCTAAATGGAGCAGCAATTATGGATGGAGCTTTGCTTCTAATTGCTGCCAATGAAAGTTGTCCACAACCTCAGACATCAGAACACTTGGCTGCTGTTGAAATTATGCGCCTGCAACATATAATCATTCTTCAAAACAAGGTTGATTTGGTTCAGGAAAACATTGCCATTAATCAGCATGAAGCCATTCAGAAATTTATCCAGGTTAGTGGTTCCAGATGTGAACTTTCGTTAATTTTCTTTGCGTGGACATTCATTTCATGCAATTAAGCTAAATAGGATATATCAAAATTTTATTTTAGGGTACGGTTGCTGGTTCTGCACCTGTGGTTCCCATATCCGCTCAACTGAAGTACAACATTGATGTCGTGTGTGAATATATTGTAAAAAAAATCCCCATTCCAGTTAGGGACTTCACTTCAGCACCAAATATGATTGTTATTCGTTCATTTGATGTAAACAAGCCTGGTTTTGAAGTGGATGAGATTAGAGGCGGTGTTGCTGGAGGCAGCATCTTGAAGGTATGTGACTATGTTCTTGTATTCGTGAAGTTTATTGTAAAGCGGGCTTCAAGATAAAGTTCTTACATTTAAAAGATTTACAACAACTCGTTGGCTGTGGCTTACTGGTTTTCTGGAATCATTTTTTTGCAGGGTGTGTTGAGGGTCCACCAAAAAATTGAGGTTCGTCCTGGTATTGTTGTAAAGGATGAGAAAGGCAACATCAAGTGCACCCCAATATACTCCAGGATAGTTTCTTTGTACGCTGAACAGAATGAACTTCAATTTGCCGTTCCTGGAGGACTGATTGGAGTTGGAACAACCATGGATCCAACCCTGACTCGTGCTGACCGGTTGGTTGGACAGGTTCTTGGAGAGGTTGGATCACTCCCTGACGTGTATTCCGAACTGGAGGTACAAGACTTGCTTAATAAGCACTTTTTATAGTTATGCTTGCTTCAGTTACACTTGACTATACTTTCACAGGTGCTCTCAACCAGCCTGGAAATGGGCAGGGGTTGATTTCTGTTTGGCTTTAATTGATGCAGCCGTCTCTTTATTTCAGGTAAATTTCTTTTTGCTCCGACGCCTTTTGGGTGTCAGAACAAAGGACACTGAAAGGCAGGGCAAGGTTGCGAAGTTGACCAAAGGAGAAATCCTTATGCTAAACATAGGATCTATGTCAACTGGAGCCCACGTCATTGCTGTTAAGAATGTCTTTGCAAAACTGCAATTGACTTCCCCAGTGTGCACTAGCAAAGGTGAGAAAATTGCTTTGAGCAGGAGAATTGAGAAGCACTGGCGTCTTATTGGATGGGGCCAAATACAGGCTGGAAAAACCCTTGAAGTTCCTCCTGCCCCATTTTAGTGATTTGATAATAATTATTAGTAAACGCAAGGAGGATAAATGTGGGAGGGTAGAGAACTGCTGGGAACTATTTTTGTCCGCTGGAGAAGAAGACATGATTTTAAAGTTTTTTATATTAACCATTCGGCAAATTTATTTAATCTGCAAATTTATTTATTTTTCTCAATACAAGTTTCATATGACATCATTGAGATGGTTTGTTGCAGTTTGCTTGTGCTTAATCATTGACAGGCGATCTTGAATATATGGTGTCTTTTCCATGACTATTCCGCCTAGGGATGGACCAGGTCCGGGTCAGGCCGGGCCCTGGGCTGGGATTGAGTGGGACACCGGGACTGGGGTTTTGGGCTGCAGGCCTGGTCCTGGTTTTTCATCATTCCTACCCCCACCTCCCCCAAACCTTGCCAAAACACCCGGCTCAACCCACCTAGGCACCTAGCAGTAGCCCAATGCGATAAAATCAAAAAAATAATAATTTGGGTCTGGACCGGTCCACTATATATGGATCCTGTAGACCACCACAATCTCGGTCCCGGCTGGGCCTGTTCTGCACAGTTATGGTCTGGGCCGGGTACTGGGTCATTCTGAACCCGCCCAGTCCATGTCTAATTCTGCCCCCATCAGTTTTTATTATGAGCTTATATATTGTTTGGTGATTTATTGTCAGTATTTCAACAAATGCATACCCTGAATTAGTAACACCATATTCTCAGGTCACCCATTAATACCCGTTAATACTTTACGTAGTACTCCCTTCGTTCCCAAAAATCCTTCCCGGTTTGACCTGGATTGCTTTTTAATGCAAGGCTAAAAAGTTTTTGACTTTCCAATTAAACCCTTGGAGTGTTTGCTGAAAAGGGGAGATGTAAAAATAAAGTTACTCCTATGAAGAATGATTAAATAAAGTGGGATTTGATAGATGTGATAAAAAAGGTGAATAGTACACCCCAAGCAAAAATCTCGGATACAACTTCTCTCCTATTTTTGGAGGGATTTTCAAATGTTTTTTTCTACAAATACTCCCATTTCCACATTGTTTTTCCCAACCTCCCATTACAACACTCAACACTTCACGCACACGTACACAATAAATGTGAGCATTTCTTCTTCCATAAATGGCAGGTGACATAAATGTTGATTCCCCTTCACCTTCCATTAACGCTCATCTTTCATCTTTTTCACCAACCAACCTGAACACAATAACAAATGAGGGTGAGTCAGAAGAAGCAATCAGCAACAACAAAAATAGGAGACTGTCAAATGTGGAAAAGGACATTATCATGAATCAGATCCTACTCAGTGAAAAAACAGACTGTTTTGGGGCGTTGGTAGCTCAGAAAGGTGTGTTCAGTAAACTGGGAACTGAATTTAAAGTTTCTAGAGGATCCAATTCAAGCATATAGGTGGCTGCCAAAAAACAACTTCAGAAATGGGTCCCGGTGGATGTGAGCAGTAGGTGGGCTGGTAATTCAGGAAGGAAAAGAATTGAAGTGGATATAAGCTCCATCTCTAAAATTCCACTGTATAAAAGGACCAATATGAGGGCACTAGCTGCTGCCACAGGCATTTCAAAGACAACTTTGCACAAATGTTTGAAAAAAGGTATTCTTAGAAGTCACACAAATGCTATTAAGCCTTTCTTAACAGATGAAAACAAAGTTTCCAGAGTACAGTTCTGTTACAACCAAGTTGACAGGTCAAATCCAGGTAAGCCAACATTCCAGAATTTTCAAAATGTGATACACATTGATGAAAAATGGGTTTTCATGTCAAAAACTTCTCAGAGGTACTACATGGCTTTGGATGAGCAGAACCCTCATAGGGTGTGAAGTCAAAGAGGTTCATAACTAAGGTCATGTCCCTAGGAGTAGTAGGCATACCTCTATTTTCAGACACTGATGAAGTACTTTGGGATGGTAAGGTAGGCATATTTCCCTTCATTCTAAAGGTAGCAGCCAAAAGGAGAAGCAAAAATAGAGATGCAGGGGTCAGGCCTATATGGTCATCACAGCACCCATACAAGTAAAGCTCAGACCTATTTGGTCATCACAACCCTCATACAAGCATTGATCAGACCTATATGGTCAACACAACACCCATACAATCATTGATCAGCCCTATATGTTCATCACAACACCCATACAAGCAAAGCTCAGACATATTTGGTCATCACCGCACACAAACATTCCATAACCAGCCCACACATTTATCATTACCAATCAAACATCACACTTTCTTTAAGCAGCCAACATTTTGTTGTTTACAAACAATTTCAGAAAAAAGAAGCACCATATTTTCATCATTACTTCCCCAAAACAAACACTGCACTACACACACAACGTAAGCCAAGGCAGACAAGCAAGTGCACAACAATAGCCATACACGATGTCACACACAAACAAACAAGATAGAGGAGTCAAACATAGGAAAAGAGATTAAGAGAGTAACTCCCCTGATTGGGAAAGAAGTCATACATCCACGTCTCACATCCTAGATTCCCAGTCGGGTAGGATGAGCTTTAGGAAGGCTTCTAGACGAGGACTTTTGCGTATTGGGTGCATTTCAATCTCTTTCCACCTTTTCTCCTTAGCCTCTTCACTGTCCAGAACCAGAACCTGCTTGGCCCGGTGAACTTCCTCCTCCTCTTCACTGTCCGGAACCACTAGCTCCATCGGACCTTCATCATCGTCCCCATGCGATGCCTCTTCGGTGTCCAGAACCACAAGGTCCACCGAAGTTTTACCGTGGTCCACATCGAGGTCATCATCTGGCTCGACTTCACTATCCGGCACCATCAGGACGCCCATGCAAGCATAGTATGGACCTTGATCTTCACATAGGGTTTCAGAGCTCGATTCTAGATCCATGGAGGTCGAATGTTAGGTTTAGGGATTTGAATCAAGAACAGACGATTAGATCAACAAAATAAGCTAGGGTTGTTGTGGATTTTGGTTCAGAGAAGGAGTGGAGGCGATGCATCGGAAACAGAGGGATGAGAGGATGAGGGGAGGCGGTGCATCGCAACTGTGAGAGACAAGGAGAGAGGGGGTGAGATAATGCGAGAAAGAGAGAATGGAACGAGAAAAGTGGGGTAGAGTGTAAGTGAGAAAGAGAAAAGTGAGGAGGGTAAATATTTTAAGTGGTAAGATATGCTTTTTAGTAGTAGGAAGTTTCCTTATTTAGTAAGTGGGAAGTATTTTTGGGAACAACCAAAAATGGAAAGTGGGAAGAATTTTTGGGAACGAAGGGAGTAGTATATAACACAATTTTGACGTAGTAGGTAAGTGGGGTCGCGGGGAGACATTTAAGTAAATAATTTTTTCTAAAATGTTAGGGAAATATAACATAATATATTATTGCTTTCTAACTTCTTAGGAGTAAGATTGTAGATGAATCAAATAAATTATACTTGTATAATTTATTACCCAACTTAGTAGAACTAATAGTAGCCACATTCAAAACTTTCCTTTTGCATTTGACACTACAAACAATTAAGTCACCAAGTCAATATTACATATTACAATTATATCATTACCCAACTTAGTCCAAAAATAACAGCAACACAGCCTTGTTTAAATAAACTGAAATTTAAATCAATAAATCAAAAGCTTAAAAACCAATAAACTGCATACTAGAATACTAATAATGTGCAAACTGAAAGAAGAGTATTAAATGAACTGCATACTAGAAGCTGAAATGTATTTTTTTGTATAAGACATGGCAGAATTCATTTTATCCCTTCAAATAATATTACTAAAATTATGTCTTAAAATTCTAGAATACTCTTCATGTTTGCCTTTGGTTTGTTCCCCAAGGAGCACAAGAACACAACTAAGTTTTTTCTTGGAAACAACACAAACATTTGCCCTACAATATAATGAAACAAGGTAACAACTTGAATTGGGTCAGAAAAAAATAGCAATCTTTGACTACAAATTAATCATCTTAAACCCAACAATGCTAGGGTATGGCTTCCCTAAGCACATACAAAGGAAAAAGAAGCTAGTTATTGAAAAAAGAGGCCAAAACTACAGTTTTATACTTAGTCATTTCCCGGGTGTTCCAGATATTTGCATATCCATAGCTTACGTCACAAGGCCAGATTTTGGAAGGACTTAGATCACCATTCACCAGGTAGATCAGCGGTCTGATTCCAGGATTGACATAATTCTACATCAACATAATTCCAGGACACGTGTATATCCCTCATTAGCTTAGTATTTTTGGGTTTAAGGCTCAACCTTGTATCTTTGCCTATAGTAGCAACCTTTCCCTTTTGGAAAAGGGATAAAAAATTTTGTATTACTATTGTGCCGGATTTATTACACATTTTTCTCACTCTAGATTTGCTTTGACTTCTCATTGGAACCGCTCCTAATATATCTATAAAATAAATTAAAACAAATATGTTTATATTTATGTATATTGGGCAGGGCAGATTGGGCGGGCATTATGGGAATATTAACTCGGACCCATCTCATCGTGTGCATGGGGCATCCCGGACCCGCCCCATTTGAATGACGAGGCATGGCGGGTCCTTACGTTTCAGGTTGTCTGCCATGCCTAATAAATCTCATCCTTGCAGTAGGTGGTAGGGCCTTTGAAATTTGTTTTGGAAACTCGGGCCAGAATATGTTTCTCTAAACACCTCCTTTTCCCATTAAGAGATGGTGTTTTGTGTTTTCCGCGTGTATCCATGTTTCACATGTTTCGTGTAACACTGTAACATAAGTGTAGGCATATTCTTGAGAAAGTAAATAAAATGGAGAGAAAAGTTACAGTATATTGAGTAATACGTAGTATATACGTAGTAATTGGGACTTAGGAGATAGTTGTTGATGTGATAACACTGAAAAAGAAATGTGATAGAATGAAAATTTATTTGTAATTGTATATGGTGTAAATTATTTTACATTTGTACCACATATTGGATAGAAATTTAAACATAATATTTACATTTTTAGTAAATATAATATTCCTAAAGTATAAAAATAAAAGGGCATAATGGAATATCATTGTTATTCACACAAGTGACGTCTTCCTATAATTTAGTCCCATCTTTTATAAAGTGGACATGCAATGAAACTCGCAGCATAAGTGACGTTTATGGCGCTATTAGAAGTTAGAGCACTAGTGACTAGTCTCATGGAATCCCACCCCAACAAGTTATAGACACCTCATATCAGTATGAAGAATGGACAACACGCCATTTAATTTCCCCATCCATGGATTTGAGTCTATTCCTGCTACAACAGTAATGAGTTCCCTTTGCACTTCAATCCTACTAAAACCAGGGATTTTCTTAATCCCCTCATCCACCATTGCTTGCCTGACCATCTCTGCTTCTTTCCACTGCCCACTTGCACAGTACAGGTTCGACATTAACACATAGCTCATCTCATTCTGGGGCTCCAAAAGTTTCAGACTTTTCCCCAACTCTAGTCCCAATTCTATATCATGTTGAGAAGAACAAGCTCCAAATAGAACTTCTTGTGGTAGGGGTGTGCTATTTTTTTCAGAGTACACATCAGCAATCCTTCTTGCTTCTTCCATATACCCACCACGGGCTAATATATCAACCAAACAAGTCACATGATCAACCCCGGGTGAAATCCCATAAACACCCACCATTGACTCAAACAAAGCCCCACTGTTATCTACAAGCCCTGAGTGGCTACAGCTCATCAACAACCCTATAAAGGTTGCTTTATCTGGACACACCCCACATGCCACCATTTCCTCAAGAAGCTGAAAAGCTTGTGTAGAACATCCATGGAGTCCATACGAAAATAACATGGTATTCCAAGACACCAAATCCTTCTCAAGAATCTCACGGAACGCCGCATGTGAATCTCTTGTCTCCCCACATTTACCATACATGTTGACCAAGCCATTTCCAACATAAGTGTGAGAAATAAACCCTTTCTTAAATCCAAAACCATGGACCATTTTGCCATGACCTAACACAGGCAAGGTAGAACAAGCATGCAAGACGGCTCCAAATGTAAACTCATCAGGCTTTATATCGCTGTCATTTCTTGACATATCAATGAAGAGGTTTATTGCTTCTTCTCCATGCCCATTTCTAGCACATCCTGCAATCATGGTTGTCCATGAAACCAGATTCTTCATGGCTGCCTGAGTGAAAGCAGTAAATGCTTCACATATGTTGCCCAATTTCATGTGAATGTCAATCACCACATTCCACGAGACTTGGTTTAGAACAATGTCGGTGCCTTGAACCAACTTCAGAGCATCTTTATGGCGATCCACACTGGCATAGAAACTGAGAGTTGAATTATTCGCTTCACTTGCTGAACTCCAACCACTTTTCAGAATGTAACCATGCAATGTACAGCCGAGGGAGTGTTGTCTTGATTCAGAACATGCAGTCATGAGAGCACTCAATGTCCATTTGTCTGGAGTACAAGGCTCCTCAAACATATCTCTGAAAAGGCCAAATGACAATCTCACTTCACCTCGTCTAGAATGCCCAGCAATCATAGTATTATATGCAATCACCCCTTTCTTCGACATTGACTTGAAAATAATGGTGGATGTGTCTAATTCATTCACATTAACATACGCAAACAATAACGAACACCATGAAACTTCATTAGTGGCATCCATCTCTTCAAACACTCTATTTGCATCATTATGGCTGAAACATTTCCCATACATATCAATTAGTGCATTATTGACCGGCAAACATGCATTATACCCACACAGAATTAGTAGGGTGTGGATTTTCTTCCCATATTTGAGCTCACTTGAGCCTGCACATGTGCTAAGCATGGATGTAAATGTATAGTCATCTGGTTGAACTGCACTGACCCTCATGTTCTTGAACAAAGAGAGTGCTTCTTGGTGAAGACCCGATCGGGAATAACCGCTGAGCATTGAGTTCCAAGCTACTGTATCTCTGAGCAGCATTTCATCGAACAGCTTACGAGCCTGTACGACCTGGCCTGACCTTGCTAGGGCAGTTAATTTTGCAGTGATATATACTAAATGTGACTGCATAGTGAGGTGGCACCATGGGTGAAGAAGATTTTTGCAAGTTTAGGAAAGAGAGAAAAAAAAAACTAGAACCTAAGATTGGTATAGCACTTCAAAATATCATAAGGACATCTGAATTTTTGTGCTTAAGAGAATCAATGCCAATAGAGAAGTGGGCCGCACCTTTAGGTTCATGGTTTCTTTTAGCAGAGGTGTCTGCACTCCTGCCTCAGCGGTTGAATGGGAGTTCCTTCGTCATCATTGGCAGCTTCTTAACAAGCATAAACCTAATAATAATGGTAAAAACCAGTTGAAGATGAAGTCTAAAACGACTGCTGCTGAGGCTGTTGCGACGTTGCAGAGATCAGAGACGTACCAATCCCCCGCTGGTTCCAACATGTTGAAGAAGGGGAAGCTGTACAGAGACCCGAAGGTTGCTCAGCCTGTGCTAAGGGATGTGAATAATGGGGCCCCAACACCACCGCTGAGTGCAATGAGGGCACCTAAGCTCAAGTCCTGCTCAGCAACAGGAATGGAAAGTCGAGGAGAACGGTCTGCAGCCGTGCTACAATCTCTGAGGAGAAGGCAGACGTTTGATTCTGGTGATGAAAATTGATTCCCCCCATTCCAGTTGATGAAAATTGATTCCCCCCATTCCAGTTATTCCTACAGTTATTTTAATACGTACCTACGGATTATATATGAAATTTTATCAAATTTAATTCTGGTTTTGCGAATTTGTAAAACTTTAAATGTAATTTTTTAATATGAAAATTTTATTTGCTATAAATAAGTTGAGCGCAGACAGTGATTCATTTGCTTTATCGTCATTCAAACCTCGTAAACTGCAACAGAATTATAAAATTGGGACTGAGGGAGTAACTAGTTAGTCAGGGAAGTTAGTTGTAATATGGTTGAGCTGACCTTAAAAACTAGCTATGTTCTATGTGTATAAATAAGGACGAAGATCATCAATAACGATCTTGTTTGCCATTCCACTCAATTTACATTCAATTTTCATTATACGTTTAACAATTGAGTTAAGCTGATCATCATCTTCAACAGTTGAGCAGTTAAGCTGATCATCAT